CTCCTCCTCCTCCTCCTCCTCCTCCCTCTCGCGCTCCCTCCTTTTTTGCTGCCTCAACCTCCCACCCGGGCTCGGGCGACGGTGAAGCTGCCTAGGACTGCGCCATGTTGGCCTTCTTCTGGCTCACGTGACTCGGGGGGCGAGGACACGTCCGTCCCCCAAGCGGCTCGTTCCGAGGCGGAGGCGGTCCCACGACCAGAAGTTGACGCGGGTTGCACGTGTGAACGGGTGCGCGCGGAAGAGCGAGGCGGATCCGCCCGTGCGGATATCCCCCGGGAGCGACCCCTGCGCAGGGCTGAGAGCGGGCAGGGCAAGCGGCGAATCTCGGCTCGGCCGCTGCACCGGGCGACGGAGGAGCGGCGCCCACCCTGCTCCTGAACCTGCCCTCCCAGCCGCGGCTGCCAGCAGGAAACGAGAACGCGGCGCAGGGGCTGCGCTCCCACGACGCCTTCACCGTTCGCTCGGCTAAGCCCTTGCTCTGGATTCACACGACACGTCGAACCAGAAATCGTCGCCCAACAAGCGGCGTCCGGAGCGCCGATGTGATTGGACAGACACAGCTGAGCCGTGACCCTTCTCATGCTTAAGCCAGGTGAATAACAGTACAAAGGCTGTTTTCCAACGACAGATTTAACCAGGTTACTGAATTAACCCATTCCTTGGACTCGCTCCAGACGCTGAACCGTAAATTAATCTTACGGGCTGGGCTCGCCCAATAAACTAAGCCATGCAATCATAAAGGAAAAGCAAGCCAGCTTTCCTTCTGCAAATGGAACAAGTGACGTGGTTGTGGGAATACAGCCAAACACAGGCCAAGATGAAGGCTGGGCTGCCTTCTAACTAACTAACCCCTAACTATCTAACCAGATTCTGCTCTAGCAAGCAGCAGGTTGTGTGAACTCAACTGCTGTCCACTTTGTTCAAGGTTCAGAAACCTCCTAGCCTAGACAGGGGCATCGCCTTGTATTTGGGACGACCCTGGAAGGCAGGAAAAGCAGCGGCTGTAAAACGGAGCTCAGCTGGATGGGAACATCCAGCCCGTCGGCTAAATGTTCTCCACTGGCTTGCAAAGATATTACAAGAAATTGCTGGTCGCAAGGAACGTCTTTGCTCAACTCTCCAACCCCGTGTCCCCCAGAGGCGTGGACTTTCGCCCCCAGGATTCCCCCGACAGCGTGCCCATCGCTGAGAATTCTGGGAGCTGCAGTTTGCGCACCTGGAAATCGCCCAGGTTGGGAGAAGCTCAGCTGCCCGAGTTCACACAACGCACGGCATCGCAGTCCCATTTGAGCTTAGCTGGTTGTGTGAATGGGAGAAGAGAGGACCGACTCTCGTAATAGCACCCAGTAAAGCTTTTAAAATTGTATCTTCCTGGTGAGGCTTTCAGTGACTTCCGTTTGGGCTGTATCATCAATCGCTTTTTGTAACTTTGTAACTTGTCTGAAGAATGTATTCCACCACGCTGCTGCCTGCTTGCACTCCAGTCCTGGCTGATCTTACACCTGTAACAACAACCCTGTGAGGTCTGGCTAAGAGAGAGGGAGAGGGAGTGACTGGTTCAGCGTTACCCAGAGAGCTTAGTGGTCAAGTGAGATTTGAACCCAGGTCTCCCTGATCAAAGTGCAACACCTTAAACCTGGGGTTTCTCGACCTCAGCCACTTTAAGATGGGTGGACTTCAATTCCCAGAATCCCCCAGCCAGCATGGCTGGCTGGGGGATTCTGGGAGTTGAAGTCCACCCATCTTAAAGTGGCTGAGGTCGAGAAATCCTGCCTTAACCAGTTCATTGCATTGGATCTATTAGATTTCATAATCAAAGTGACTGTGAACACAAGGATAATGTGTAAGGATAATGGATAATGTGTCCCAGAGTTCCCCCATTGGGGGGAGATGGGCGGTTGAAAAATTCAATAAATAAATAAATTAGAAAAAAATCATCCACTCACCCACCCACTTCGATGCTTCTTCCCCAGGCTGGTTCCTTCCTGATGGGTTTCGGTTACCAAAATCCCCAGCCGGCAAGGTCTTTGGCTGGGGATGCAGTAGCTGACTTCCCGTGGATTTGGATGGCATGGGATTGCAAAAGAAAGGTTAACCCAGATCGATTTTTGATCTCCAGACCTGACTGTCCCGCATTCCTGCCCTGCCCTGCCTCTTAAAAGGGGCTTCTTAAATTAAATTAGGCAATGCGATGCTTAATGCCGCATTGCGCAACTTCTGTGGACTTCCACTCCCAGAATTCTCAGCAATGGCCGTGCTGGGTGGAGAACTCCGGAAACCCACACTTCTGGAAGTTTGTCCCTGCTGGAAAACACTGCTTTGTCGTATTCATTACTCCATATTCCGCCTTTCCTCCAAGGGCCCCAGGATGGCACATACAGGTTGGATTCACACAACACACTGAATCCCAAACCTGGGATCATTAAACGCAGCGGCTGTGCTCCCAGAACGTGATGCCCGAAGCAACCCTATTCTGATTCCATATTACAACGTGCTGAGATAAGACCTGCCCTGGGTGCTTTTCTTGTGCGCCCCCCCGAGACCACCAGAAGTGTTTACCTCATTTTAACTGTGACCAACGGGAGAATATATGAAAAAAATACAGGAAAAAAGTCTTCAGATCACGCACTCCTGACGTCTTCAGGGATATTCCATATAGTCTGCTTGGCAAAGGTATGGAAGTGTCTTGCTTTGGCCTTCTCCTGAGATGCTTAATTGATTTCTCAGTCTAGCCTCTAAACCAGGGTTTTTCAACCTTAGCAACTTTAAGATATGTGGACTTCAACTCCCAGAATTCCCCAGCCGGCATGCTTTAAACTAGGTGGACTTTAACTTCCAGAATTCCCCAGCCAGCATGCTGGCTGGGGAATTCTGGGAGTTGAAGGCCACATATCTTAAAGTTGCCTGGGAGTTGAAGGCCACATATCTTAAAGTTGCCTGGGAGTTGAAGGCCACATATCTTAAAGTTGCCTGGGAGTTGAAGGCCACATATCTTAAAGTTGCCTGGGAGTTGAAGGCCACATATCTTAAAGTTGCTAAGGTTGAGAAACACTGCTCTAAATCCTGGTGGTCTCCCATCCCTGCACTGATCACTTTGGATGCTATAAATATAGGCGTGTGTAAATGAAATGAGATGAACCGAGCGGTTGCCCTCGGCTCAGAGAATGGGCCATCTTCAGGGTGAGGCAAAGCCAACAGGAGGCTGGCAGGATTCCCCCCACCGAGTCACTCAGCCTGTTAAACAATGGAGCTGCTGCCCCGTCTGTGACTTCACAGACCACCAGCCAGTTGGCTCCAGCCACTCCGGCACTCCCTGGCTCCACCATGCGCGGCCCCCTCTGCCTTTTCTGTCTGTGCCAGGGGAGTTCTGCCGCACACCAAGGTGTGGTGGGTGGGCAGGATGTGGGAGCTCCCTTCCACCTGGTCTGGGAGTGGTTGGCGGTTTGCTCCGCCATGGTGGTGGCTCTGGTGCTGGCGCTTGCGATGAAGTGGCTCACCAGGAAACAAGCTCCCCGAGACAGGAAAACATCCAAGGTGATGGGCCCAGGACGCCACGTGCTGGGTGGGGAAGCGGTGCCCTGCGGTTGGCCATCGGGGGCGGGGGGGAGAGCAGGGGAGCCTCCAGGGCTGCAAAGCTCCTTGTTCGAAGCATTAAAAAGTCGGGCTTTGGAGTCCCTGCTTGGAAGCACCGACCCAGCGCTGTCTTCAACATCTTACAGCCACTCCGACTTTTCCTCTTGGCCCAGCTTTTAAGGGGCAGCACACTCGAGCCATGCTGCCATCAGAGATCGGCTCTGAAGCACTGCACGAAAAGTAGATATCGACAGACAAGCTTGGATGGATAGAGGACCTCCCTGATTTAAGGCGCCTTCTAATATTTTGGGAAGTGGTTTTAGCTCTGTGCCTGGACACTGATCCCCCAGCAGAAAGCCTCTACCTTCTCCCCAAATTCCTCATCTGGCTGCCTTTTTAATTCACTACAACCTCACTGTGTCTTCTGGGACTCGGCGAGATCGTACGATATGGAGGTTGAGCTCCATCACACATAGAACATAGCTCTTCCCAAATGAGATTCTTCCTTTTTTGAGAAAATAGATAAAAAGGATGGAAGCTGAAAGGCTAATAATAATTACAGCATTCCTTCCTGAATCAGAGGCAGCCGAGTTAAACTAGTCCTGTCTTTTAATCGGCAGTTTGGAATTTCTCTAAAGTTTCTTCCCCCTGCGATGGAAGGGTCGCTTTCTCTGGCTTAGACTTAGGAGAGACGGGAACGATGAATTCATTGAGAACGTCTTTCAAATGTCTCAAAGCGGGTGGGGTGGGACATATGAAGATGGCCTGAGATCTTCCATTGGGATTGAACTGAAATGTGGGAAGCCAAGGAGGGCTCAAAGCTTTGGGTTGTTGAAAGCAAGAAGAGGATTCCCTCTTTCTCTCTTTATGACACTCATTTCTCTTAGCTATCTCTTCCTTTAGTGAATTCTAGAACAGTGTTTTTCAAACTTGGCCACTTTAAGCTGTGTGGACTTCAACTCCCAGAGTTCCCCAGCCAGCCATGCTCCGGGTGGGGGAACCTGGGAGTTGAAGATCACACAGCTTTTAAGGGGGAAGATTTGTAAACAAAGCTT